AAGTGGTAGAGCGCTAGCCTTGAGCTGAAGAGCTGAGGGACAGCGCCCAGGCCGAGTTCAGGCCCCATGACCGGACCAAAAAAAAAAAAAAAAGAAAATATTAGGTGATATTATGATTCCTTACCTCTTTAGAAGAAGAAAAAATAGTCTAGAATCACAGTCTTAAAATCACACAGCCAAGAAGAAAAATGATTAATTCTTTTTTTTTTGAAAAATGATTAATTCTTAAGGAAACAACACAGGATTTAAAAATAATCTATTAAACTATACTTTTTCTTGCTATTGATCTAAAGGAATGAACTCAGAGAAAGAGACAAAGGCTTATAGTACATTATAATATGAAACTATGTAGATTGGTTGACTCATCTCCACTTAGAATATAAACTAAACAAGACAAACATTGAACGCTACATGTCTAAATTCTTGGAAGTTCTAACAACAGAGTTAAACACAAAAATATAAACATCCATTATTTTACTTTCTGATTATTACAGATGAATATTGTGAAAACATGAAAATGCACAGGAAAAATTCCAATGATTACTAAGGTTATGCTGGCATAACTCGACGTTTACTTCTCATTCCAGGACTACACAAAGTTTTTTTTAAAAAACAACAACCAAAAAATCTGCTTTTGATTAAAGCCTATTTGAAGCAATTCTGTAAAGATATTCCAAATCCAAGCCTGAGGACTGATTAAAAAAATATTTAGCTACTTTCTGCATACATTCTAAAGTAAAAACAAAACAAAATCTTCGGTTGCTTGTTTTTATAAATGGTTATAAGTTATGTATGCCCAGTAATTAAAGCTTTCAGAGCTGCTCAGTTACTAGGGAATACTGGCAAATTATATCCATGTAGAGCTTGTCCTTAATCAAACTTGAATTAAATGTTTATTTTCTTCAATAAGAAATATAAGCCTATCAAATGTTTGCAATTATGCTGGTCAAGATGATGAATTCAAGAGCATTAGGCTGACAGTTCAACTAGAATTTGATCATTTTTTCCTTTAACATACTATACTCAAAATTTAGGAAGTTTTTAGAAGCCCAATAGCATTGTTATTTTCAGTGACAGAATGAATTGGATTTTTACACACACACACACAATCATTGGGGAAGAGGTTTCTTGTGCTAGAGTTAGTGAACACTGGTTTTGTGCTTGTTGGGCAGGCATTTTGCCAGACCCGTACCTCTTTTTTGTTTGGGTTAACTCTCATATAGGGTAGGTCTTGTACTGTTTGCCTCTAAGCCAGGCTCAGGCCACAGTGTTATGCCTCCTGCACAGTCGGAATGATAGGTATGCACCACCACGCCCAGCTTGTTTATTGAAATGAGGTCTGGCTAATTTTTTTGCTCTGGCTGGGTTTGAAGTGATCCTTCTTGATTTACATCTCCCAAGTAGCTGAGATTATAGACAGTTGTAGGCCACTAAACTTGAGAAACCTTTCTAAACTGAAATTACTGTAAAGCAAACAGAAAAATATTTCTAGGATGATAAGGAGAAATATCAACGGGAAACTGAGGCAAAAAACTGTAGGAAAAAAAGAGAAAGCTATAGAAATGGAGGAAGAACACCAAAGAAGAAACTATAAATTGGCTTCTCAGAAGATTCATACCTAGCACAATAAAAAAAAAATTTATTTTGAAGAGATAAAAAAATTGGAAAATATTCTGACTTTTCAAAACTAAATAATCAAGTATTTAAGTTATGACAGTTAAGGTACTTTGTTATGTAGCCTAATTATTCTTGCACAGCTATCTTTTACCTTATAAAGTAGCCTAAGAAATGGTTCAAGTGCTTGCCCAACAATGCAAGGAACCTGGCTCTGATACTCAGTACTACAACAACAATGAAAAGTAGACAAACAAGTTAAGTAAAACTCAGAGTAAGCAAATTAAGAAGTAACGTATGTGTTTCAAAGCCAAGCATGCAGTTTTAGTGTTTTTCCTTCACTTCTTCTAAACATAACAATATGCTTCCATTTGAATGCATCCACTCCTTAGTGGAAAATAATTCTTTACCTTCTTTCCCTCTGTATCTGATGTACAAAGTACACTAAGTAATTTTTCTTTCTTTTTCATATGATTAAAAAGAGAATAAAAGAAAAATCATACTCACTTTGCAATAGGATACTCCCACATGTATCCCCAGCCTCCATGCAGCTGTACACATTCATAAGCTACACTGTTCTGTAATTCAGATGCCCTAGATAAGCAAAATCAAAAGCAAAAAGAGGAAAGCTGAATCTATTTTCATGAGGTACTTTATAATCAGAAAATAAAACATATATGATTGTTTAGATGCAGACACTTATCCAGCAATTCAAACAGGCATATTAGACGGCTAGAAAGGATGATACAAATGACATATGAAATAAATTCAGGTGAATTTTCACAGAAACTATACCTTCACTATTTGTACTTTTGTCTGGGTTTTTATTAAGGCTAGAAACAAAATATGGAAAACTCAGAATAGGTTTTGGCTCTTTGGGCTTGGAAAAGATAAAGACTGGAATTAAGTTTTTTAGATTCTCTATTTCATCTTAACTATCAAGCCATCTAGTACTTTTTGACTTTGTAATGTCGTTCTTTCTCCAAATGTTATAAGTGAAGACAATTCTGTGTGTGGGTATGTTGTGTGGGTGTGTATACCTGTGTGTACATGTGTGGAGTGTGTACGCTCCCACATGTGTGCATGCTCTCACATGTGTGCATGCCAATACTGGGGCTTAACTCAGGGGTCTGGGCTCGTACTTGGCTCCTATTCCCAAGGCTGGTACTCTACCACTGGAGCCACACCTCCACTTCCCCAAAGAAAATTGTGAAGTTCAAAACTATAAAAATTTTATGATTCTGGATGACATTGATCAAGATGCATTGTACTCAGAATCTGACTTATAGAGTTGTAACTCCTTGGTAAAACTACTAAATAATAAAATTAAAAAACTTATGGTTCTGGCTTTTCAGAAACAAACTGAAGGTAGAAGTGAAAAACCTAAGAGGATGGACTATTGAAGTGCGTGCCTTCATATAGGTAACTTTGGGCTTGGAGGGAGGGAGCAGGATTAATATGAAATACTTGAGAAAAAGTCATCTCTGATCTTACACAATTGTTTGTTTTACAGTGCTGGGGACTGAACCCAAGGTCTTCCACATGCTAGGCAAAAACTCTATTACAGAACTTATCCAGCAACAAGCTAAGCTATCAGTGATATCTATGGTATGAATGATAGGGTTTTATTAACCTCAAAACAACAATGTAATTTGGTTTAGAATTCTTTTCTACTTTCTTCTCAATAGTAGAAAAGATAAAGCAAAAGTATGCATAGGTACATTTTCGTATTTAAGCTGATTTTAACTTAAGACACAGTATAGGTGAGGATGTCCCTAAGAAATAAACTAATAATCTAATCATTAAAGGACAAATCTCTGGGGATAAATATATGTGGAGTTCAGTATATTTTATACTTGGCAAATACTTTAGTGATCTATTTACTGGGCTACATTTAGTAGTGCTCACTACTTCAATGTTAAATATCATTATGCCTATAAATCTGGTGTTTTCAAAGAATAAGCCAATAAGCTGTGAAAACTTCTCTTTCTCAATAACATCTAAAATTCTTTTTTCCACACTAGTCAAAGAATTTGTTATAAATATAAAAAGTCTTCCCTAGATGTGCAAGTTTTTAGTAACTTCACTTTGCATTTCTGTCTGGCAATTTTATTATTATGGAATTATTACATACAAGTTTTATTTTTAGGTCCTTTTTACAAATACCTCATATTTCACACTACTGTTCATGTTTAATTTTAACCAAAGCCTTTTAAAGTTTAATAGTATAGTGTTTTTTCATTTTATGGAATGTACAACTTTTGACTGTACAGTATTCTTTTCTCAGACCAGGGAAACATTTTACATAAGAAAAATCCTATCACACCAAATCATTTCCTGGATAATACAAAGCTGTCCCAGAAAGAATCAGATTTAGCTGGAATATACAATGAAAGACTTGGACATTCTTGCAAGAGCCCTCACTGTCTTACCCTTCAGTCTTACCATACTTTTGCCACTCTTTAGGCAATATGTAATTAAACTGTTATAGGAATGAACTCATCAGTCACTCTATTTCAGTCTCTTACTCTTTTATTTTAAATATTAAGTTATAAATTAAATACCAACTTGCATAATTTTTAGCACATTATAAAAAGGCCTAAAGGAACTTTCCATCAGTATTATAATGTTAATTCCTACAGCTATTTTTCATTTATATTGCCTTCTTCCTATAATACTCTCAAGGCCGCATTGAAAGTTGGCAGCATTCCGTAGGAGTTTGAGAAAATAACATTTTAATTATTGTAGAATACATACCAATATTTCGCCATGGAAGCAGTAGCAGAGTCCAGGCGTTTCTTTTCATGAAGCTGCAGACAGCTGTCCACGAAAGCTCTGGTTACACATATGTGTGTTTTTAATTCTGCTAGTTTGTGCTGTACTGTCTTGAGTTGAAAGGATAATAAAAGCATGGTAAGAGCACACATTTTTACTCAGTATCTCAGTATTACACACACACACAGACACACACACCCTCTCACACCCTCTCTAGAACAAAAGTGGAGTTGCTGTTTTTTTCTCCCACAAAGGGGAGGGGGAAAGAGATATACATTCTTTAATAAAGATTAAATTGAGCCGGGAGCCAGTGGCTAACATCTGTAATCATAGCTACTCAAGGACACTAAGATCTGAGGAATGAGATTTGAAGCCAGCCAGCCAGCCAACCTGGGCAGATAAATCTGAAATACTCTTATCTCTAATTAATCAGTAAAAATCCGAAAGTGAAGGGTAGTTCCCAGTGATCACGCACAAGGCTTGATTTAAAAAACTAAGCAAAAACATGAGGTCCTAAATTCAAGCCCCACTAATAGTACTAGCATAAAATTTATTTTAAACCCAGTATATTTCAGTGCTAAGAAAACATGTGCCAAAAGATATTAAAATAGCTAAATTACATAAATTATCTCTCATGTTTTAGACTAAAATTTAAACAAAGAAAACTACTTTTAAACAGCATGACTTTACTGCATGAGCACCATCTTGTGGTATAGTCCTTTAGGTACAGCTACTCAAACATCTTTTTTCCTCTAGAGACTGAAGGTTTATTCTCTTATCAATGAAATTAAGTATATGCATTTCCCTATACTGCCTCCTTGCCTTAAAGTGAAACAATAAAGGAGCAAGCTGGAGGGAACATCCAACACCCTGTAACCTCTTTTATCTCTCTCCACCCTCACTCCCAGCAGCATTAGGTGTATCAAGTCTCTAAGACCAATGAAATGTTCTGGCTTGTCAATGTTAATATACTATATATGTATCTATCTCCTCCTACTGCCCAGGGACAACCAATAGTATTCCTGTTCTATTTAGACAATCCTCAATTGTTATTTATGGTTCCCTCTTTGGGCAAGTTTTATTTCACTTTTTTCACTCTTGGCTCTTACTCCAACTTCTGATTTTACATCTGTTGCCTCTGGCACCAACTCTTCAGGAAACTGGCTTGGGCTGAAAATACTGGCGCATTCTATTTATAGCAGCTTACAAAAGTACACCCTATTCTAGCTAAAGTCTGAGGCCCAGCTGTGGTGAGCTGGCTCTACCTTCCTTGTGGAGATTCAGATAGAAATGTTTTTGATCATTCTGCTGTAGAACTTAAGGGCCATTCACTGTGGCTAACAGATGGACAAAGTACAAGTTACTCATAAAAGTGGCCAGAGTAATTCAAATTAGGAATTAATGCATCTCTCCTATCTATACACTTCCTTGGGAAAAAAAAAAACCTGCGTGGTATCCACAATGAACTAGTGAAGGAAGAGCGCTACTGCCACCTTCTGAAAATTTAGTGAACTTCTGCAAGAAGCTCAGTGAAGCACACCAACATGTTTTTTTGTTTTTTGTTGTTTTTTGGGTCTGGTCATGGGGCCTGAACTCTGGGCCTGAGCACTGTCCCTCAGCTCTTCAGCTCAAGGCTAGCGCTCTACCACTTAGCCACAGCTCCACTTCCGGCTTTTTTCTTATGTGGTGCTGAGGAATTGAACCCAGGGCCTCAGGCATGCAAGGCAAGCGCTCTCACTGAGCCACCTTCCCAGCCCTACCAACATATGTTTTAAGAATTCTGAGCTAGGGGCTAGGAAGGTGGCTCAGTGGTAGAGCACTTGCCTTGTATGCATGAGGCCCTGGGTTCGATTCCTCAGCACCACATAAGCAAAAAGAAAAAAGCCGGAAGTGGCTCAAGTGGTAGAGCGCTAGCCTTGAGCTGAAGAGCTGAGGGAAGGACAGTGCCCAGGCCCAGAGTTCAGGCCCCACAACCGGACTCCCCACCCCACCCCGCCACCCGCAAAAAAAGGAATTCTGATTTAAATTAGGAGACTTAGCAATCAGTGCCAGGGGTTTTTCATGAAATGTTTACTTATCCATTCTATCTATTTAAATGTAATGTTAATTATATTATTTTTATAATTATATTTTATATATACATAGATGAGTAAACATATATACACATATATACATAGGTGAGTAAACACACACACACATATATATATATACACATAGATGTATGAATGATTATTTCCCTACCATGACACTTCATTTGAAAAACCTTTATAAGGCAATCCAACAATTTCCATTGTACTTTTGCACTTATATGATGTCACCTGTGACAATGTATATGCTATTTAAAACATGAATGAAAACCTTTTAACCTTAGGGGAAAGTAATAATAGTTTTCTAGTTCCATCATGTTTAAATATCAAATCACATCTTTTTGAGGCACTCAGGCAACCTAGGTAATAGTATAATTATCTTTGTGGTAATCTAATATGAATTCCATAAATAGGAAATGCATATTTGCAGAGGGATGGAAATTATATCTAGTTGATTCCATTTTTAAGTTGGCTTTAAGTATTATTCTATAAAAATGTTTTAATAAACATTATTGATATGAAGGCTAGATTTCAGATGCAAATGATAGGATTCCACTTTCAGTACAGATGAAAAAATTACATTCTGATACAAGTGGTGCACATTTTTTATATTTCTAGGAACTTTAGCATATATTTCTAGAGTCATAGATATCATATTACATTTGAGTGCTCAATGGAATTTAAAAAAATAACCAACAGAAAAAGAATGTGTGACAGCATTTCTCTATAGATTGTCAGGTGTTATTCTGTGGGGAGGGGTGGGTCAACTCAGGGTCTTGCACTTGCCAGACAGGTATGCTACTGCTTGACTCATGCCTTTAAATCATTTTGCTCTCATTGTGTTTTGCGTGGATTCTTTTTGTCCAAGAGAAACTGGATCATGATCCTTCTATTTACACTTCCAGAATAGCTGGGTGACAGATGCATACCACTACTATGCCTAGCTTTTCATTAGTTGAGAGGAGTCTTGCAAACTTTTTCCCTAGAAGGGTCTTCCACAGGCTGGATTCCAGCTTCTGAAACAGCTAGAATTACAAGTGTGAGCCACTGTGCACAATCAGTATTTTGAGTAGGATAATTAACAGACATGGAACACTGTCCTTCCTCCAGGATACTAAACATACCTGACACTTAGTCACTGTGCATTGTGATCCCTGACGTTTCTGAATCTCTAAGGGGAGAAGCCAGGCGCTGAGAATTTACTGACATATGAAAACTCATACATGAAAGGGAATATACAGTATTATATCACTGCTCTTAGCTGGGCACGGTGATGCATACCTGTTAATACCAGAATTAGGGAGGCTGAGGTAGCAAGACTATTGAGTCTGAGGGCAGGCTAAAACTATATAGCTAGACCTTTAAGAACACAAAAACAAACAAAAGTCTTTGCTCTTAAGTAAATCACAATTTGTTTTGTCATTCTCATGCTTTGAAATTTTTTTCTGCATCGAATATACATGTCAATGAGATTGTTCTAGGTCTCTCTTATCAGTAAGACAGAACTAAAGACATTTTTTTAAGACAGAGAAAAATTAACTTGATGATTATATAGGCAGAAGGCAGTTCTCAAAAGACAGAACTCTGGTAACACCTATAATCCTAGCAACTCAGGAGGATGAGATCTGAGAATCATTGTTCAAAGGCAGTTCAGGCAGGAAAGTGCACCAAAAAATCAGAAATGAAGTTGTGGCTCAGATAATAAAGCATTAGTCTTACGTACTAAAGCTCAGGGATAGCTCGTAGGCCCTGAATTCAAGTCCCAGGACTGGCACACGCGTAAAAAGACAGAGAAAGTTCAGATCACAAGCAACAACAAGAAATTTGTAAAAAGATCCCCTGTATTCTAAGAAAATAGAGCAAGACATTATTTAAGGAAAAAATAGTGTTAATGGCTGACCTAAGTAAAAGTGTATTTTAACAGGCAATATTAAAAGCACTCTTGTTTTATTCCATCAAGTCTGCACAGTAACTATATGAAAGTTGCTAATATTGTTCAAAAATAGGACAATATTTCTATTTGTAAGTTTTGCAAACAAGCAGAAAAATATTTCTGAGAGAGTATACAACTTCCCTAGACCTAGACAAAGTTCAGGAACTATGTATGCTAGGACTTAAACCACACTTGCACACAATATTCCTAATGCTGATCCTAAAACTTGTGTTTCATCCCTTCACAAAGACATCCAGCCAAGGTCATTCTCTTTAAAAAATTTTTTTTGGGTTCTTTTTTAACTGTATTTTTTTTTCTGTTACTGGGGATTGAATCCAAGACATTGTACTTGATAGGCATCTGCTTACAAATTTTAAAATAGAATTCTAACTCCTACTAGTGAGATACTTTACAAGTTTCATGACTGCAATGTTTATAAACTGCTTTTTTTGCCCAGTACTGGGGCTTGAGCTTAGAACCTCAAGCTATAATTTGGCTTTTGGCTCAGAGCTGGCATTCTACCACTTGAGCTATGCTTCCTCCAGTCTGTTGATTATTTTGGAGATGGAGTCTTGTGGACTTATTTGTTCAGGCTAGCTTTAAATCATGATTCTCCTGTCTCAGCATTCTGGATAGGATACTAAGGATACTGTGAGATACTAAACATAAACCTGCTTCTGTATAAGAAACTAGAGAGGGCTGGGAAGATGGCTCAGTGGTAGAGTGCTTGCCTTGCATGCTTGAGGCCCTGGGTTCAATTCCTCAGCACCACATAAGCAAAAAGAAAAAAGCCGAAAGTGGTGCTGTGGTTCAAGTGGTAGAGCGCTAGCCTTGAGCTAAAGAGCTGAGGGACAGCGCCCAGGCCCAGAGTTCAGGCCCTACGACCGGGCCTCCAACCGCCCCCCCCCCAAAAGAAACTAAAGAGTCCAAAATTTGGACCTTGGAATCCTCTTTTTGTGGTTTCTGAGACAACACTCTCCTGATTTGCTTTGTTTCCTAACTTTTATTACAAGTTGTCTTGCCAGACTTCCCCTTTCTTAGTTTAACTTCAAATCTTGTAGTCTTCTCTTAAGTCTCTATCCGCAGTCCCTTTTCCCCCCTTATTTTCTACTCTATTTCCCCTAAGAATCTCATCCACTCTCATGGTTTCCAAACTGTATCAAAGTTAAGCAAATTTGTGTTCATTCAAAACTTATTCCAGTTAAATAAATAAACTAATAATGAGCTTACCTGTATATGAGCAACTGTTTTTCCAAAAGCTTTTCTCTGCTTAACATAGTTCCTGGTTTCTTCAAACATGAATTCACAGGCTGAAATTGCTATATCAGCAATTAGTAGCCTTTCCTATAACCCAAAAATTAGGTTTTAAACATATTCTAATTACACAAATAATTTCAATTACAATAAATTCTGTAAATACCATTATAACTCTTTAAATCCATAAATGAGCATATGTAATATATATAATACATATAATTATATGTAATTTATAATTTATGGATTGTATTTACTGATATCTTCATATTGTATCATAATGTATCTATAGAAATCAACATCTTAAAGGTCACAGGTTAAATTCTACTTAGATGAACAAAACTAGCCTTAGCCAGCTTAATTTAATTACACTAGAATTAAATGCTAATTAATATGTTTCACTTAAATGACACTACTCCTAATTCTTTACCCTTGTTTCATGTTTAGCTCATGTCATGGTAGTCACCAGACAAATCTACCATATAAGAGGCTGACATGTAAGACCCAGTAATCATTACTAAGCAACTACATGCCAAAAACAGATGTGGAAATGACTATGACTAAAATTTTTAGTCTGAATTTAACATCTTTACTATTTGACTCAGATATTTAAAAACTGCCAAATGTTTTCAGTGATATTGTCTTACAAACTAAAAGCTCCTGTCCTGTGATTAACAAACTCAAATTAGAAGAACCATTCTAAGAATTGAAACACCTCTGTTCCTTCCTTATTCTAAGAATTGAAACACCTATGTTCCTTCCTTACTTTGTAAGTTGTGGTTGAATATAATTGAGTTCAGTCATTTATATAGCTTATATCATTCACAGTTTTTAAATTTTAAATTTAAAGTCAAGTAGTTGGCTTTATCACTGGTTTTGCAAGCATTGATCTATATAGTTCTGTATTATCCTAAAAGATGGAATCTTTATAAGCATTTCTAACCTGTGGAAGCTCTTGCATGAGGTAATAGAAACCTTTATTCTCTTCTCCAAGTAGGGCACCAGCTGGCAATCGAACATCTTCAAAGAATAGTTCTGCAGTATCCTAAAAGGCCACACAATTAAAGTAGAGATGAGCTCATTAAGTTTCTAATAACCCACTGAGGTATTTCTACAATGTCCAAAAAGAAAAAACATCAAAAGTCACACAAAAACTTACTGAAGACAAGTAGTGAGTAGTAAACCAGTAATTCACATTCATGTCCATGTGATACAAAACTTATGACTACCATGGTAACTCATGTCATTCACATTCTAATACTATCCAGTGCTCTAGGTACTTGAAAAAGATTTCTATTACATTACAGATAATATATCATATATATTATATGCATATTTATATTCATATTATTTGTAAGATTATATAATACATATTACATTTTATATATAAGTATTATATGTATAAAACATCAAGTTTTTTCAAATAGAAATATTTTCTTTCTTTCTTTTTTTTTTGCTGGTTGTGGGGCCTGAACTCTGGGTCTGGGCGGTGTCCCTCAGCTTTCAGCTCAAGGCTAGTGCTCTACCATTCGAGCCACAGCACCACTTCTGGCTTTTTCTGCTTATGTGGTGCTGAGGAGTTGAACCCAGGGCCTCATGCATGCAAGGCAAGCACTCTACCACTGAGCCACCTTCCCAGCCCTAGAAATATTTTCTTATTTCAGTTCTTTAATACATTTCATAAAGAAATAGCTTTCTACATTGCACTAATTTTGGCATTTCTAAAGCTGATGTTTCAAACACCTTGAACTATTCCCTTCCTTGACTACCAGAATGTGATACAGTGGCATTAGTGAGAATAAACCTCCACTACCACTTATGAAAAACATATTCTAGGAATTCCACATAGGGAAGTATGTTTTTACCACATAAAATTCTCTATGTCTTTTCTTTGATTGAAACTAAACTGAATTACTTGAATATGATTTCTATTATATCTTACCTGGGCTTTCAATCCCATTTTATGCAACTTCCGTCCCTTGATAAATCCTTTCATCCCATCTTCCACCAGAAAAAGGCTAATGCCGTGGGCAGGAGAGCGAGCTTCACGATTTGTGACAGCAACTACAATCACAACGTCACTTAACCACCCGTTAGTGATGAACACCTGCAAAACCCCAAGAACGTTATAATGCTCTGCAATATTCACGCTCACATACGAGTAAGGATTGGGAAAATCATACTCAACCCTAAAACAGGTTAGGCATGCTTTATACTCTGTCTCTCCTGTTTCATCCCTTATTCCCAGAGCACCATCAGCATTAGCATCATGTTAATGTTAATTAAACTGCAAATGTTTTTCTCTTAGTAGGGTATAAAATGGTGATGGTTACTCTCATCAACTAACATTTACACTCTTATAAGAAAATCTACTCTGAAGTACTAAGGGCTTTTATACATATACATATATATTTATTTACTTTTTTATTTATTATTAGTAGAAAATGAGCAACAAATGAAGGCAGTGGTGATGTTATTGGTAACACATTAATAAAAGTCCCTTGCCATTCTTTCCTACTTGGACTCATAGTCATGTCCTATTTACATTATCTATCCCCAATGTTTAGAAAGTTTTGTAGCAAAGAAGAGGCCATCAAGGACTTTTACAAATATATTCATATAAATATATTTTTCAAAAAACTTCTATATATAATGGCAAAAAATGTTACTTCAGGGCTGGGAGTGTGGCTTAGTGGTAGAGCACTTGCCTAGCATGCATGAAGCCCCAGGTTCGATTCCTCAGTACCACATAAATAGAAAAAGCCAGAAGTGGTGATATGGCCCAAGTGGTTGAGTGCTAGCCTTGAGCAAAAAAGTTTAGGGACAGTGCCCAGGCCCTGAGCTCAAGCCCCATGACTGGAAAAAAAATGTTATTTCATCACTTTGTAGCTGTGCTCACTCTGGCAGTGCATTTACTAAAAATTACAGCAAAAACTCAACCTAAGATCTGAAAAAGGGTGTTAACAGAAGAAAAGGGTTGGGATACAGACAGGGGTGAACAAGGATGAATATATGGTTAAAGTAGTTTGTTTGTGTGTGTAAAAACAGAACAATGAAACCTGATAAAATTATTTTAAGAAGGGAAAGGGATACAAAAGAAGAGGTGAGGTTGTTACATTGTGTGTGTGTGTGTGTGTGTGTGTGTGTGTTACAAACCTCTTCCTATACAGCATACACTAATTTTTAAAGATGGATTAATCAGGGCACTGGTGGCTCATACCTATAATCTTGCTACTCAGGAGGCTGAGATCTGAGGATTTTCGTTTGAAGCCAGCCTGGGCAGGAAACTCTGAGACTCTTATCTCTAATTAACCACACAAAAAAGCCTGAAGTGGAGCTGTGATTCAATGGTAAAGTAGAAAGTCTTGAGCACAAAAGTTCAGGGATAGTGCCTAAGCCCTGAGTTCAAGCCCCCCTCCCCCAAAATAAAATAGATAAAATAAATAAATGAATTAAAGATATAAAAAGAAAAACACCTTTAGTTCTGACTGCTGTGTGCAGCTGACAGTTTAACTGCAGAGTGATTTTTTTTAAGTATTGAATCACAGAATTTATACAATTTCATTCTAAAATTCAGTCTCTGAACTCTATTAACTATAGATAAAACAAGGAAAAGAATAGGAAAAACAAATGTCAACATAAAAAACATAATTCTCTTTAATATGCAGATATCAAAGTGATAATAATCAAGCCAACTTCTCCAGAAGTTCTTGGAATTATAGAAATCATAGATTCTGCTTCTCTCTTCTCTCTCTGTGTGCCAATATGGGGGCTTGAACTCAAGAGCCTTTAACTCTTGCTTGGTTTTTGGGCCCATGGTTTATTTATACTTTACCATTTGAACCATACCTCCATTTCGTGAACCATTTCTATAATAGTCTAACCTAATGTATTTTCATCATGGCTGATTCCATTTTTAAGAAAGTTATGACAATTCTCCTTGTAAGTAGCCATAGTTTGTTTCTATTTTTTTGGAGGTGGTTATTTAGAGGCCACCCTGGCCTATATACTAAGTTCCAGGAGAGCCTGAGCTATACAGTGAAATCTTGTTGCAGAAGAATAAAAAAAAGTCAGTGAGTAGTTCTGAGACATGGATAATGGTGGCCTGCTTCTGGAGAGAACGGCTTGAGAAGCCCTTCACGTACCTTGCTTCCATTGAGAATCCAATCACTTCCATCTTTTTTTGCATTTGTTCTTACTCCTTGTAAATCACTATAATTGAAAAAGAAAAAAATCATCAATAGATAAAAAATATATATACAAGCCGGGCACTGGTGACTCTCGCCTGTAATCCTAGCTACTCAGGAAGCTGAGATCTGAGGATCATGGTTCAAAGCCAGCCCAGGCAGGAAAGTCCATGAGACTCTTATCTCCAATAAACCACTAGAAAACCAGAAGTGGCGCTGTGGGTCAAGCGGTATAATACTTGCCTTAAGCTGAAGAGCTGAGGGACAGCGCCCAAGCCAAGAGTTCAAGCCCCACGACTGACCAAAAAAAATTTTTTTACAAATGTTATGCAAAAAATGTATATGTGATCATTAAAACTGAATACCCCATTATATAATTTCTATTATTGGATATGTTCACATAATTCAATTAAGAAAAATCATATCTTATTATAAAGATATCTTCCATGAACAAGCATATGATTAAAATTACATAAACTAGGTAGACTTCATAGCATACACAGAAGAACCACTATGCTCGAGATTATGTGCAGTACCTACCTGCCTCTATGTACGTTGGTCCATTCCTCTATATCTTTCCAGCAAAAACTTAGCTACTTTTAAATAGCTAAAAATAAAACATTTTATACATGTGTAGAAATGTCACAATAAAACTCCTCCTGCACAACTAATATAAAAACATATGTAAGTAAAGATAAAATAATCATTTAAGACTATGCCTCAAATGCTATGTTTTTCTGCTAATTAAAATATGAAAAATACAGACAGTACTCAGAAGGATAAATATGTCAAATAACTTTATCTCCCAAGTGTATATTTTTAAATCATATATTTCTAATATTTTGAATAATATAAACATGTTTTTGAATTCAGAACTAGACATATGATTTTGATCTCTGAAAAATATCTAATGCTTTTTTGCAAGGTGATTTTCAACTACATAGACTATCATCATGTGATTTTACCATGACTTTAAGATAATTTCCTACTGGTGAACACCTAGATTTCAATTTTCATGAATATATTACAGTATATGTGTAAATATTCTATATTTCTACTAGCAATTTTTTGTGATCATTCCAATGTATGGTCTTTGTATTTTTATACTCCATTGTGCTGACTGGTGTTACTTGTTTGCTTTGTTTGAGACATGGTCTATGTAGCTAAGGCTGGAAAGCTCCTGCCTTTTAATCCTGTGTGTTGAGACTATAGGCAAGTGCCACCATGCCCAACTGTTACAGTACTTTTATTCGCTCTCCAAACTGGAATGAATACTGACGCCAGAAAGGTATTAAGTCCTAATCCCTAACACCTGTAACTATCTTACATGGGGAAAGGATCATTGAGATGTCATTAGCTTAAGGATGTCGACATGGGGAGACTATCATAGATTATCACAAGCGCCCTTAGGGGCAGAGGGAGATCCCACAGAGAGAAAAGGAGAGGCAGTAAGCCAGGAGGGTAGCGGCCCAGGACGTGGAAGCGGCATTTCTTCTGGAGAGTGTGTTTCCGGCTGACACTTTGATTTGGGCCAAATGACTTTGGCCTACAGCATTGCATGCGGATGGGGAGGTGGTGGGCAAGGGACAGAGAATCGCCCCGGTTCTCTCTAGCCAGCCGGAGATTTGGAGTCCTGAAATGCACTCCGCCCAAGAGGCAGACAGCAATAAATATACAAGGAAGCAAAGAGTCGCAGGAACTGAAGACACTTCGCGACTTGTACCCACAGCCAAGCGCCCTTCCCCATCCCGCTCACCCCGGGCTGCCGGGCCAAAGCAGCCCAAGGCTGCCGGGCGCCAGGCCCAACGAGCGGGCTGCAGCCCCAGACGCAGATGCAGAAGCCTCCGGGAGCGCCGGCTGCCTGGACACCGCACCAAGGCACTGCGGGCGCACCAAGGCACTGCGGGCGCACCAAGGCACTGCGGGCGGCGAGCCCCCAACCCCGGACCCGGGGAGCTCCGGCCGCACCAAGGCCGGCCTGTGGCCCGCGACCAACCCGGCAGAGCGGACGGAGAGGCTGGGTGGCTCCGAGGACCGGTGGCGGGAGCGTGCGGCAGGAGCAGGGCGAGGCCGGTGCTGGTGGCGACCCGCAGAGCTGGCCAGCATCCTCACCCACGGAGAGGCACCACACCTGAAGAGGGCAACCAGGCCAGACCCTTCCTCGTCCCCTCACGCCCCTGGGACTCTCTGGGGGAGGGAGGTGGGGTTCTAGCACCCTGCATCTGACTACCGGCCTGAGAACAACAGACACCATTCCACTCACCTCCCATCCCAGAGGCCTGAGGCTAGTCTGCCTGGCCTCCCACAGAGGACGGGTCCTCCCGCTCCCGCGTCAGGAGCCACGCAGCACCCTCACTCCAGAGGCCAGGCATCAGCCACCCCTTCCAAAGTGGGCCTCCTTCACCCCAGAGGCCCCAGTCTAGCCTTCCCAGGCCCCTGCAGGCGGGACCAAGCTCCTTTCAGTTAACCTGGGTCCAAGTACAGTCACAGGTGCTTGCTGGGCCAGGGATCCAGTGTGGGCTAGTCAACCCAGTGTGGGCCAGCCCGGAACAATCCAGGGAAAGACCCCAGGGACAGAGAAGAAGAGGCGGAGGACAAAAGAACCATTAAAGGAATGACAGGAAAGAGGCAAAAACGATTTCAAGAGTACAAAGAAAAAAATGACAAAGAAGATCCAGGACTCCCAAAAAGATACGAAGATAAAAACAGAAACACCATACACCTCATTAAAAGATGAAATCAACACTATGAGAACTGATCTGAACAAAGATCTCAGAAGCATAAAATGTTCAACTGCCACAGTACAAACCACGGTAAAATACATATATAACTAAATAAGTGACATGGAAAATAGAATATCAGAAGTCGAGGATAAAACAGGGGAGCTAGAACAGAATGTCAAAGGTATGGGAAAATAAACAATCAGAACCTACCAAAGGGAAATCCAAGAACTGACAGATTCAGCTAAGAAATCAAATCTACACATAATTGGGATCAATGGGGAAGGGGGGGGGGAGAATTTAGTAGTAAAGGTATCAAAAACCCTTTCAGTAAAATAATAAAAGAGAACTTCCCCATACCTGAGAGAAAAATCTCATGAACTTAACAGAAGCATATAGAATCCCTAGTAGGCAGGATATAAGAAGAAACACTACTAGACACATCACAGCAAAAACATTAGAACTAAATAGCCAGGAACTGATTTTCAATGCTGGAAAATAAAAGCAGGAGCTGTACTACAATGGAAAGAAAATCAGAATCACTGCAGACCTCTCCACATAAACCCTCAATGCAAGAAGAGCCTGGAATAGTATAATCCAAGTCCTGAAGATCAACAACTGCCAACTCAAATTGGTATACCCAGTGAAGTTATCATTTAGATTTGATGATGAAACAAAAACCTTCCATGGCAAACAGAAATTAAAGGAATTTATGAACACTAAACCAGCTACAAAGAATACTAAAGAAAAGAATACAATCTGAAGAAAACAATCAAACCAGGGAACAGATCAGATGAAAATCACTAGAAGACCAATTTATTAAGTACAGGAAGACAAAGGAAACAAAATACAGGAAATCAAGAAAAGGGCAGGAAACATGACTCATCCCTCTACAATAACCTTAAGCATTAATGGATGCAATTCCTCAATAAAAAGAAAGAGAACAACAGATCAAAAAACAAGATCCATCCATATATTGTCTCCAAGAGACCCACCTCACAGTCAAAGATAAAAACAAACTCTGAGTGAAGGGATTCAAAAAGATCTTCCATTCAAATGAACCCTGCAAGAAGGCAGGAGTAGCTATATTGATATCTGATAAAATAGATTTTTCATTAAAATCAGTACAAAGAGGTAAGGAAGGTCATTATATATTAATAAAGGGAATGACCATGAAGAGAAAACCACAGTGGTCAATACCTATGCACCAAACAATGGAGCACCCAAATATGCTAAGCAAATACTTTCAAATTTATAAAACAAGATAGACATGAATACAATAATAGTGGAAGATTTGATTGACCTCCCTCTCATCAAAGGACAGGTCAACCAAACAAAAGATAAGCAAAGAAGCCTCTGAACTAAATGACACCATAGCCCACGTGGATGTAACAGACATCTACAGAGTAGTCCAAGTCACATTCTTCTCAGCAGCCCAAGGAATATTCTCCAAAATACATCAAATCATAGTACACACCAAGAACCTAAGCAAATACAAGAGGATTGGCATAATCCCTTGCATCCTATTTGATCACACTATAATCAAACTAGTTCTCAACAACAAAATCTAATGCAGAAATCACTCAAATGCATAGAGGCTGAATAACACACTATTGAATAACACCTGGATCACAGAAAAAATTAGAAATAAAAAAGTTCTTACAATTCAGTGAAAATGAAAACATATCATAATGGAACCTTCTTGGATGCAGCAAAAGCAGCACTGAAAAAGTTCATAGCCCTAAGTACACACATAAAACAGAAACCACTCAAGTAAATAATCTCATGATGCAATCAAAACTGCTAGAAAATAAAAAAAAATCAAATCTAAAACTAATAGATGTAGACAAACAGCAAAGATTAGGGCAGAAATCAATGAAATGAAAACTAATAAAAAAGATATATAAAATCAATGAAACAAAAGACTTTTCAAAAATTAATAAAATTGACAGACCACTTGCAAGATTAACAAAAAAAATAAAAGAAATCCAAATCAACAAGATTAGAGATGCCACAAGAAATATTACAACAAACATCCAATAAATCCAAATGATTATAAAGGACTACTCTCAGAACTTATACTTGGCTGGGCATGTAGTTTAGTGGTAGAGTGCTTGCCTAGCATGCATGAAGCCCTGGGTTTGATTCCTTGGTATCACATAAAGAGAAAAGGCTGGAAGTGGTGCTGTGGCTCAAGTGGTAGAGTGCTAGTCTTGAGCAAAAGATCCTCGGGGACAGTGCCCAGGCCCTGAGTTCAAGCCCTAGTACTGGGCAACAAAGCAAAAGAAAACAAAAAAAACCCCTATACTTACTAAAGAAGGAAAAGTTAGCAGAAATGGATGAAATTTTAGAAACATATAAACTGCCTAAAGTGAACCAAGAAGATATAAACCAGCTAAACAAACCGAAAACATGCAAGGAGATAGAGGAAGTAATCAGATATGTCCCAACAAGGCAAAGCCCAACCCCAGATGGATTCACTGCTGAAATCTGTAAGACTTTGAGATGAACTAAGACCAATACTCCTCAAGCTTTTCAGTGAAATAGCAGAGAGAGCAACCCCAAACTCATCCTATAAACAAATATCATGCTCACCCCCAAACCAGGTAAGGATCAAACAAAAGAGAACTACAGACCAATTTCTCTGATGAACACAGATGCAAATCTCCTCAATAAAATATTAGCCAACAGAATCCAGAAACAACAACAAAAATCATACATTCTGACCAAGTAGGCTTCACCCCAGTGATCCCATTTGCAATAGCCTCAAAAAAAAAAAAACACAAAACCCAGGAATCAACCTAACCAAAGATGTAAAAGATCTTTCTAGTGAAAACTATAAAAATCTAAAGAACAAAATCAAAGAGGACACCAGAAAATGGAAAGACCTTCCGTGTTCATGGACAGGTAGAATCAATATTGTAAAAATGGCCATACTGCCAAATTCAATGCAATCCTCCTCAAAATCCCAATGGCCTTCTTTACTTAGAAAAGACAAAAGAATCCAAAAGTTCATATGGAACAACAAAAGACCTAGAATACCCAAAGCAATCTAGGCAAAAAAACTGTACAGGCAGTATCATAGTACCATATTTCAAACTCTACTACAGAGCTGTAATAACAAAGCTTGGTATTGGCACAAAAATAGACGTGAAGATCAATGGAGTAGAAGACCCAGAAATAAAACCAAATACTTACAGTCATCTGATTTGACAAAGGAGCCAAGGACATGCAGTGGAAAAAACACAGCCTCTTCAACAATCGGTGTTGGGAAAACTTTGCATCCATATGCAGAAAATTAAACCTGGATCCTTGTACCATGTACATCAAAAAAGACCATGCACCATCAAAAATGGATTCAGAGCCAGGTAAAAGTGGTTAACGCCTATAATCCTAGCTACTTAGGATGCTGAAATCTGAGGAATGCGGGTCAAAGCCAGCCCAAGCAGGAAAGTCTATGATACTCTTGTCTCTAATAAACCACCAGAAAACCGGAAGTGGCGCTGTGGCTCAAGTGCTAAACTTGAGCTGAAGAGCTGAGGGACGGCGCCCAAACCAAAAAAAAAAAAAGGGATTTTAAGACTTCAATATCAGACCTGAACCTCTGAAACTACTGCAAAAGAGAGAAGGAGAGATGTTAGAACTTACAGGTATAGGCAGGAACTTCCCAAATAGAGTCAGGGGCACAACAGATAGGAGAGGTACTTGACAAGTGGAACTACATTAAAATAAAAAGTTTCTGTACAGCTCAGAGATATATTTACTAAACTAGAAAGATAGCCAACCAATTTGAAAAAGATCTTTGCTAGCAATATATCAGACAAATGATTAATATCCATTATATACAAGGAGCTCAAGAAACTAACCATTCCCAAACTTAATACACCAATTACTAAATGGGCAAGGGAGCTAAGAAGAGACTTCTCAAAGGAAGAGGCAAGAATGACAGAGAAACACAAGAGAAGATGGTTATCATCCCTGGCCATAAAGGAAATGCAAATCAAAAAGACCTTGAGAAACTATCTTATCCCAGTTAGATTGGCCAGCATTTTGAATTATAACAACAAATGCTAATGGGGATGTGGGAAAAAAAGGAACCTTACTTCACTGCTGGTGGGAAGGTAAACTAGTACAACTACCATGGAAATCCATCTAGAGGTCCCTTAAAAAAACTAAACATAGACCTTCCCTAAGACCCAGCCATACACCACTCCTTGCCATCTACTCGGAGCACCATAAGCCAGGATATGATAAGGACTCCTGCATATCCATGTTCACTGCTGCTGCACTATTTCACAATAACCAAGATATGGAAACAACCCAGATGCCCAACAATAGATGAGTGGATCCAAAAAATGTGGTACCTATATACAATGGAATTTTACACAGCCATTAGAAAGAATAAAATAATGTCATATCCAGGGAAATGGATGGAACTAGAACAAATCATGTTAAGTGAGGTAAGCCAAAATCAGAGAGTCAATGTTCTCCCTGATATGTGGAAATTAGATCTAAAAAGTACTAGGATATGACAAAATACACAGAATTCTAGGTACCACATAAAGTGGGAACAAAAGAGGATAGTCTTAGGAGAGAATCACAAAGGTGCAATACCCAAGTGCCTCCTCATATGTATATAAAATAATACACATACTGAAATGAATTCTTAGTTTTTTTTCTTCTTGTTGTTGTTGTATTCTTTATCTTATTATATACAGCTTATTCATATCTGAGGGAGGGTGGGGAAAGGGCACAGAATCAGGAAAAAAGGGTGAAAAGTACATTAGTGAAGTGCACTGGCTGCACTGGACATTCATGGAAGTGAACTATGCAGCTCAGGGGTGGAGATGGGAGAGAGGGAATGGGAGAGAATAAGAGAACTGATGACACTGTGCAAAAGGAAATATACTTATTCCCGGATGTATGTAAAGGTAACCTTGCCGTACGTCACCTCTAAAAAAACAATAAACTAGAAAAAACAAAAACAAAAAAAATTTAATGTGAATCACATTTTAAGGCTAGATGCTATTGTATTTTAAGGCAGTATTTTTCATGATTAGTAAGAAGTATCAGCTCCTAATATTTGAACATGATTTATTAAAACATTTCTTCTATAAAGAGACATATCAAGGTAATAAAAGTAGTGATGTACTGTAGTGGATTTTCTGTAAACTTTTAATGGTAAATATGAAACTGTTGATGGCAAATATGAAATACTGAAAATGGAGTAAGGATATAACAATGATGTACAAGGAATTTAGATCCTTACAATAATCCCATTAAGTTTTGTATCTTATGTTCACTGATATAGACATTGAAGCTCAGAGATTTTATTGAAGATAACAACAGCTCTAATACTCCACTAATCTGCTCTATTTCTTATGTTCTGCTCTCAGTACAATAGATACCTTATTTCTCATTTTCTGTTTTTTCCTAACATGTGAACCATAATATCCCTATATTCCATTCAGATTACTGAAATAACATGAAAGCATTTTTTATTTTATAAGTATTGTATTGTGAAAATACAATTACATGGGTTACAATTACATGGGCAAGGTAAAGCATTTCTTATCAAGCATTGTTGCCTCTTCCTTTGTTTCCCCTTCCCATCCCTGACAGGAAAGCATTTATAAAATGCTAAAGTATCGTACAAATAAACTATATAAGGAAGTTTCCTAGTACATGGAAGGGGAAGAGTCAGTAAAATTCTAGGTGATTTCCAGCAATTCTAACCTTTTCTATACAGCCCAAACAAAGAAATACACAGTGCCAACCCTGTCTAATTGAAGAAAAAAAAGTTCATCTTCTCTGTTCTTTCCCTCATAATTTTCATCTTTTCACCATAATTTCTCATCATTTCTTAGCACTCTCTTACTCCTGAAATATTCTTTCAGTCTTCAAAGTTCCAGAAACATATATTAACAGCCTGCTCAACATTCAGGTGAAGATCACCTCACATTTAAAATACATTACACTGATTACCTTACTTATGTAACTGTATCCCCTCTATATATCACCTTGACAATAAAATTAAAATAATAAAAAAGTAAGATGAAATTTATTGCACTGAAGATTCAATAGATATACTTTCATTTATGTAACATTTTTTATGAGGCTATGATTAATGCTATGTTCACTTTTGTCATATATCTAGCTTAATCTTTTATAAAATTCAGTTATCCCCAAGTATCAAAAGAGGATTGGTTGCAGGACCCTTGAAAATACCAAAATTTATAGATGCTTAAGTCCTATACACAACAATGTAGTACTTGCATATAATTTATGCACATCTTCCTGCATATTTTAAATAATCTCTAGCATTTAAAACACCCAAGAAAATGTAAATGTCATATAAAGTTACTATACTCTATTGTTGAGGAAATGACAAGAAAAACATGTATGTATTTGATGCTGATGCGACTAGTTTTTCTAAATATTTTAGATTTGAAGTTGAATCTATGTGCAGAACACAGAGGTAATGAGAAACAAAGAACATACTTGCAAAGGTATCTGCTACTAGGGCACTTATTCCAAGAGATCTAAACCAAAGAACACTGACTTACCTTCCAGCTCCAGGTTCTGTCATTGCTATGGCCCCAATACATTTGCCCTCAGTCATCCGGGGAATGAAGTGTTCAATCTGTTCTTTTGAGCCATAGTTTGCAATATAGGGCATGACAATATCTGAATGAAGACTGAAACCTGGGCCTGTACAATTTGAATATGCTCTAAAAATGAAGCAGAAAATGTAAAATAGTTAACAGCACAAAATAATTTTAATTTTTCAATAAAAGTAACTATAAGAATAAGAAATAATAACATATAAAATAATATAACAACAAAGTATAAAAGATCTTATCCTATTGTGTGGTAAAAGTCTATGTCCTCATAAATCTATGACCTTCCTGAATACTTTCCCACCTTGTTTTTGCTAGCCTTTTTTTTTTTTAATTGTGAAAATATCATACAGAGGGGTTACAATTACATGGGCAAGATAGTGAGTACATTTCTTATCAAGCATTGTTGCCTCTTCCTTCGTTTCCCCATATCATCCCTTCCCCTCTCCACCCACACCCCCCCACACCCCTACCACTTCCTACCCCCCACCCCACCAAAGTTGTAAAGTTCATTTTTTGACATAACGTCTTGTACATCTCATTGTTGTAATGGGTCCACCTGTAATCCTATTTAAACAGTTTGTTTTTTCCCTTCCCCTCCACAAATTTTATCAACATCAAGTACAGTGAAAGCAGGGCTTATGCCCTGGGGGAGGTACATACAAAGCAACAAAGAAATCATCTTATAAATATATTGGAAACAATCGCAAGAAAGAAAAAAAGATTTGAATCCTTATCTTGGGGTTCATTTCGCACAACATCAACTTGTCTGACAGTTTCTATTTGTCTCAGACACATACTAGTTATTGCAAATAAGGGAAACCATGGGACCTATGTTTCTTTGGGCTTGGCTTACTTCACTTAATATAATTTTTTCCAAGTCTTTGTGGGCAAGAGGATTCTTCTTCTTTTTTCTGATTCCATTGTGTATATATACCACATTTTCTTGATCCATTCATCTACTGAGGGGCATCTGGGTTGGTTCCATATCTTAGCTATGGTAAATAATGCTGCAATAAACATAGCTGTGCTGGTAGCTTTAGTATGGTCTTGTTTGTGATCATTTGGGTAAATGCCCAAAAGTGGGATTGCTGGGTCATAGGGGAGCTCTATGTAGAGTCTTTTGAGGAACTACCATACTGCCTTCTAAAGTGGGTGAGCAAGTTTACACTCCCACCAACAATGCAGTAAGTTTCGCTTCTGTCCACATCTCCTCCAGCATCTGTTGTTATTAGAGTTCTTGATTACAGCCATTCTAACTGGGGTGAGGTGGTATCTCAATGTTGTTTTGATTTGCATTTCTTTTATGGCTAGGGAGGTTGAGCATTTCTTCATGTGTCTATTGGCCATCCTTTCTTCTTCAGAGAAGTTTCTCTTTAAGTCTTTAGCCCACTTATTTATCGGGCAGTTGTTTCTTTGAGTATTTGTTGTTGGAGGATTTAATTTTTTGAGTTCCAGGTATATTTTAGATATGAGACCCTTGTCCGTTATATGGCTAGTGAAAATCTTCTCCCTGTTTTGCTAGTCTTTTAATTGCTTGTTCTAACATATTTGCTGTGCTCTATAAGCTCAATAAATGCTTAATGAATTAGGAATTAAAATACGGATCACCCATAATTCTATTATTCTAACATATTTTTATTTTAGCAAACAACATTTTGGATAGATTCTATTATAAATGCAGCCAAACTGTGAGTTTTTCACTTTGCTATTTTCTTACCTATCTTCATTTTATACCTTTATTAATTATAATCTTAAAAAGATAATGGTTAAAGGCATGGCTGTCTTTAACTGTCTACAAGCTCAAGACTGAGTTCAATCCCCACTGTGAAAAAAAAGTAGCTGCAAAATATTCCAATTGTTTAGTATATGTTCCATAATACACTTATAATAAATTCACTCACCACTGGACATTTAGATTGCTTTGAAATTTGGGAGATTATGATCTAATATAACAATAATTTCTAGTGTGGCAATATATAAACATAGCTTCTATTTTTCCTATTTTATTTTGTCAAGATAAAATCTCCAAAATGACATACTAAGGAAAGAGCAGGAATATTTTAATTTTTCATATATATTTCTCTTATATTGCCACCAGCAGTATATGAATATACTACAATAATTGTAGCAACACTAGGTATTTATATATCTTCTCACTGAAATTGTACATATGTAAAATGATACCTCTAGGCTAATTGACTTTGCTTTGTACTATGAACATTTGTGTGTATGTATGTGTGTGCGCGCCAGTCCTGAGGCCTCAGAGCTTGGGTACTGTTCTTGAAATTTTGTGCCTCAAGGCTGGTACTGTATCATTTGAGCCACAGCTCTACTTTGACTTGGTGGTTAACTGGAGATAGAAGTCTCATGAACTTTGAACTGTGATCCTCAGATCTCAGTCTCCTGAGAAGCTAGGATTATAGGCATAAGCTACCAGTACCTATTTAACTGAAATGATCGTTTATTCTTATTTTTCCATTCTGATGATGTTTCAAATATTTTATTAAAGGAGGGAAAACATATAAACCCAGCCCCCAAAAAACTATCTCATTTTTTTTTCTATTGGTCAGTAGTGGGTCTTAAACTCAGGGCTTCAGCCTTATCCCTGAGCTTTTTCTACTCACGGCTAGCACTCTATGACACTTTGAGCCACACAGTGCCACTTCCAATTTTCTGGTGGTTAATTAGAGGTAAGAGTCTCTTAGGGACTTTACAGTCCAGGCTGACTTTGAGCTACTCTCCTCAGATCTCAGCCTCCTGAGTAGTTAGGATTATAGGAGTGAGCCACCAGTGCCCAGCTATCTCATTAACTTTCAACAGTATCTATCTCAAGAACTTCAATAGGATTTTATCTTCTTACATCCAAAAAATATCCAAGAGTATATGAGTAATATAATCTGTCACATTTTGCATTGAATTTTCAATATTCCAAGAATATAAGTAAACATTTTTATTATTATTTCACAAAGGTGAATTTATAAACAGATTCAAGTTCAAATGTTTTCATACTTACTGCTCCTCCCAAGTAAGAGCTGTAGAGAACAAGTCACCACCAATACCACCATGTTTCTCTGCAATGTTGATACCCAGCAGTCCTTGCTTTCCAGCTTTTTCCCAAAGCTCTCTACTCACTTCTCCAGCTTTCTCCCACCTGCAAATAATAAATGTATAAAAATAAAGCAAAGTTCTTTCAAATTATTTTAATGGCCACAGTTTGAATTTACAAATGATTCTGTGTAGGAATGCCTCCTTAGTTTATGGTAACTCAGACACTGGCCAAACCTTCCATTTCCACCTGATTTTGCTGTCATTTCTTCTCCTTTTTCATTCCTGTTTGCTACTTTTTGTCCTTTGAACTCAAGGACAGAGCACTGTCCCTGAGCTTTTGTTCTCAAGGCTGGTAGTCTACCACCTGACCCACAGCCTGGCTTTGAGCTTTTTGCTCGTTAATTAGACTTTCCTGTCCAGGCTAGCTTCAAACTGTGATACTCAGATCTCAGCTTCCTCAGTAGGTAGGATTATAGGCATAAGCAACAGATGCCTGGTGATTAGTATTATTAATATTCATATTATTTGATATAAATATTAATATTCATCAATATTCATTGGTATTTGTTGATGACATGGTGTTTCACTTAGCATAAGTTTAGTTGTGACATATGGTCTTAGAAATTTGCCCATGTCTTTGTAAAGTCTATGTATTTACTTAAAAGCTAAGCTCACAGAAAACGCATACCAAAGCCAACAAAGTGCAAAGTAGTCTCATTAAATTTAAATAACAACAACAGGACAGTAAAAACACTTTGCAGCGTGCATCTGTCAAATGAATTTCTCATTGTGACAACTCAGTTGTCTTCTTCACTACCATTCTACTTTACACTAGGAAGGAAAACCTAGTGCAAGAATGCTAAATAAGTACTCTATTCCTAAGCTATATCCCAATTCCAGTTTTCCTTTGAAAATGGGAATGGTGAAATGAAGAAAAAGGTGGCTAGTTAAGGGATAGTGAACAAATCTGCAATTTTTTACTTTTGAAACATTATATATAGTTAAGACCTAAGGTATTTGAAGATACTAAGTAGGAAAGAGTTTAGAAATAAACTTATTTTTACATCAAGACCTCATTCAACCAAAATTTAAAAGTAGTGAAGAAATAAACTTTCTCCTAGAAGAAATTATACTACAATTCTCCTTATAGTCTAGCTAATTTGGCATTCTAGCCAAAAACTATTCATTAAAAACTTACTGTAAGCTTATTATTTGATTATTCTACTGTATTCTTTCATTGGGGGGGGCAGTAGTGGGGCTTAAAGTCAGCCCTTACACTCTTCCTTGACTTTTTCACTTAAGGCTGGTGCTCTACCACTTGACCCACAACTCCACTTCTGGCTTTTTTGTTGGTTAACTGGAGTTTCATGGACTTTTCTGCCCAGGATAGCTGCAAACCACAATCCCAAGATCTCAGTTTCCTAAGTACCTAGGATCATATGTATGTTATAAGCTACTAATATGGCTCAGGAAGCTTATTTTAAACAACATCTAAAAATCATTGTGTATCCAGACACAGTGGCTCACACCTGTAATCCTAGCTACTCAGGAGCCTGAGATCTGAGAACCACAGTTCAAAGCCAGCCTGGATAGGAAAAGCTATGAGACTCATTAACATTAACTAGAAAAAGCTGGAAAGGAGCCTGTGGCTCAAGCACTAGCCTTGAGCAAAATTTTAAGCTCAGTGTCCAGGCCCTGAGTTCAAGCCCAAGGGCCAGAACAAAAGAAAAAAGGAAACAAAGAAACCCAATCTCAAAAAATAAAGTTAATTAAAAATTTTTTAAAGTTCATTCATTTAAGCAGATATGAACAGGGCTGAGGATAAAGTGTGGAGAAGGGTAAATGCCTAGGATAAGAGAGGCTCTGGTTGAGACTTAGCACCACAATAAATAAGTAAATAAATAAGGTATGACTTAAATGAAGAATCCTGGAGCTTAAGAACATTATGAAGTAAAAATTATTATTAAAGCACAAAACACTACTTTTTATGTACAACAAACAGTATTCAAGGAATTTTTTTTATATTAGGTGAAAATATGTTACTTACTCTGAGTGATAAGGAATCACTTCTTCCTGAAAGAACTTCCTTACACTTTCTCGGAAAATATCATGTTCTGAAGAAAATATTCTTCTAATTCCTATGTCTGTTAATTTTTTAGCAGAAGATGTTTCTAGACGGTCTTCTCCTCCAGAATGAGAACATCTTAAAAATATTCATTAAAAATTAATCATTAAGCAATTTATCATTCATGTAGTCTTCACTTCTAAATTCTTTTTTTTTTCCACTTCTAAATTCTTAAGAAGGATAATGACCAGACATAACTACAGGCCTGGGCTGAAGTGAAATATAGCACTGTCACAAGATACATGAATTCAATTATGAAAAATTCAAACAGTACAACAGAACAATACTGCTAAGTTTTCATGTCACATAGAATAGTTAAAATAGTGCAAAAGCTTCAAAATTAGTATATCCAGAATCATACAAATTATATAGTGCCACATTACAATGCCAGTGTGGGTATAAACGTAATGTTTTCTCTACTCCCTGTTAATGCTCCTGCCACCAATGCTCCTGCTGTTCTATAGAGACTGTTCTATACTTCCTTTGTTTAAAGTTCTTCAGTTTTCTTTTTCCTAAGGTCCCCCTGGAGGGACATATCCATTACATATTTTCTTTTTTTTTTTTTCCCATTGCACATTTTCAAAGTCACATCTAAAAGAACTTTTTTTTCTAAATTACTTTATTGTTGTTTTAAAGGTGATATGCAGCAGGGCAACTTTTACCTACATCCAGGAATAAGTATATTTTCTATTGCATAGTATCACCTGTTCCCTCCTTCTAACCTATTACTTCCCTCCCCTCTCCACCCAGAGTGCATAGTTCACTTTCCTGGATGGCCTGTATAGTTGGTATGCTGCACTGCTGCACTTTTTCATTGTTTTCCCTTTGATTCTGTGCCCTCCCCGCATGCTCCCCTAGATGTGCATGTGAATACACCTATGTAAGGCAAAAAATACAGGGTCATTTGCAAATGAAAAACAAATTAAGAAATAAAAGGCCTTTGCTTCCATATCTTTGGGGTTCATTTCAGTATGTGTATTATTTTGTATATATCTGAACAGGTTCACCTCTGTGATTCGCTTGACTATCCTCTTTTGGTCTCACTGTATATGTGAGTATCTGGAATTCTGTATAATTTGTCATGAGTTCTGGAAGGATTTAGTCCACTCAGATATTCAATGTCCTGGTAAAATATTTTGTCCACTTTCAATGATGTGCACTATGACTCCTATGAGTTGGGTGATGGATTCAAGCAAATCCCAAAGAGACTCACACCATCTGTACAGTGGTTTGTAGCAGATCCAATGACTACAAGATGTTGGTCATCATGGAAGACCATGAGTTCTAGAGAGCAGATCAAAGACTTGGCTTAAAGTTTTCATGTTCAGCCCAGCAACAATTGCCTCTTGTAGGGCCAAATCACTTTTACAGACAAGAAATTGAGCACCATTCTGATAGGGGTAAAAAGTTTGATCTGTCAACCTTCCTTCCACTTATACAGGTTCTTCTGGAACTTGATATACCAAGCAACTATCTGGACACTAGTGATGCGTCCTGCTAGGTCAAAGTACAGCCAATCACCCACAGAAAAGACCTCTGAAAGTCCCTGGTCACTATTTAGGTCTGGATCGGAAGCATCTGGCTGCAGCAGTGGTCACATAGTTCTTCCCTTTCATAGCTACGATAGCTCCTTCTAGCAGGATACAAAGACATGACTGATGTGTTAGGCCTCCTGGTACTGCTGCAAATTTAGTAAACTAGTCCTGGCTTTTACTGCTGTGTCCCTAAAATAATCATATATTTAAATCCTTTTCTGTTTTACATTAACTTCTGATTTGTGGTTTCTCTCTCCTAGATTCTGTTGATTTTCTTTTCTTTTAAAGTCTTGACTAGAAAAGACATATTTTATGTAATCAAACTACACATTAAAATGTGTTTCTAAGGTCTAATTCAGTTTAATGTACTATTATTAAATATTTTTGTTTGTTGACACATAACCTTTTTACCTCTGTAAAATAGATCCCTTTATTCTACTTTGGCTTCTTTTCTCTTTGCTCAATGCTTTGGACTAAATTATATTCCACTAACATTCGTAATCTGAAGGCCTAACCTTTAGTGGGACTGAATTTAGAGATGGATTTGGGGAGGTAACCAAGGTTAAACAGGTCAAAGGATGAGTCATAATCTGATAAGGCTGAGGGCCCCATAAATAAGGAATTGATTCTTTCCTTCACGAATAGGCCATTTGAAGACTCAGTGAGAAGGATGCAGTATCTATACCAGGTCTACACCTCATGAGGAATTTAGTTGGGTAGCATCTTGATCTTAGATTTCTCAGTTTCTAGAAAGGTAAGAATTAAGCTTTTGTTGTGTTAGCCATCTAGTACAGTACTTCACTCAGACAGCCCAAACTAATATAAATTCATTTAGTGCCATTTTGTTTTAGTTTTACAGCTTCATATAACAGAGATGCCTTCCTCCACCCCAAAGCTAGGGATCAAATCACACATATATTAGGCAAGAGTTCTAGTGCTGAAAAAAAAAAAAAAGAGTTCTAGTGTTGAGCTACATGCCCAGCCCAAGATGCCTTTTAGGTGGTAAACATGAGCTGTGAAAAACATTTAATTTAGTATTACACTTTTTATACATTAGTTGGTCTTCAATCTTCATGTATTTTCCTGGTTACTACTGTGTCATCTGAATAATTTTACGTTGCTCATTCATTCATTTTGTTAACATGTTTTCACTGGATGTCTGTTCTGTGACAAGCACTGATCTACTAACTTGAGATATAAGATCCAAAATCCTTGTTCTCATGCTTGCATTCTACTCAAAAGAGATCACATAACACTAACTCATGAACACCATAAATAAGCAAATTAGAAGTATGTCAGAAGATGACAAATAGTTCTTGGGGTGAGCCAGGAACCAAAGCTGTAGTAAAAATATTGCAATCAAGGCAGGTAAAACCAGAGTGGAGAAATATATGCAAATACTTGAAGGTCAAAGAGTTATTCAAGTTTATTTCTGCAATAAAAAAATTATAGGGTGAAAGAATGCCTAGAGCAAATGCTACAAGTCTAGATGCTATGTGTGGTGTTTTAGAAAACATAAAGGCCAAGTATGGTTGTAAGAACAGTATACATGAGGTTACATATAATAAGACCAGGATATGCACAGTATGTAAAAGATCAGTCACACTGATCTTTACTGTATCCCTAGATTCACTGTATCCCTATAACTAGAATATAGTGAACTTTGGCACTGATGGCTCATGCCTGTAAATCTAACTACTCAAGAGTCTGAGGATATTAGTTTGAAGTCAAGCAGGAAAGTCTACAAGACTCTGTCTAAAATAACCAACAAAAAGCAAGACTGGCTGGTCACCAATGGCTTAGGCCTATAATCCTAGCTACTCAGGAGGCTGAGATCTGAGGATCACAGTTCAAAGCCAGCCTAGGCGGGAAAGTCCATGAGACTCTTACCTCCAATTAACCACCAGAAAACCGTGGCTCTGTGGCTCAAGTGATAGAGTGCTCACCTTGAGCTGAAGAGCTCAGGGGCAGGGTCCAGGCTTGGAGTTCAAGCCCCACAATAGACAAAAAAGGCTGACAGCATGATCTGTAAGCACAAGCACCCTGAATTAAACCCCAGTATACGCAAGAAAAAAAATGCTGAGACTATGAAATTAGTTCTCTTAAGAGAGTGAGTCATTTATCAAATGAGTAAGTAACAGAACCAAAATTTGCAGGCAAGCCTGCCGGGATTTAAATATTATTTATTGCATATTATAGAGACATATCTGAAAAGTTTTTAAGTAAAATACTTTAAGGCATGGGAAAGTAAAAGAATAGTGAAAGTGTAAAGACTTCGAGATCAAAGATAGTTGAAAGAATATGCAGAAGAAAAAAAAATCAAACCACTTGGAAACAAGTTTGATGACAGATTTCTTTTCTTTCTCTAGCAGAGGCGGGGAAGCTTTTTCTGCCAAGGGACATTTATACCTATCATTTACAGGCCATTCAAAATTGTCAATAAAGGCAGACAGGTATAGGCAGCAGACAAGGTGCAGATAAACATACTTCTCTGAGTTTCAAAATGATTTTACTAACCTTAGGGCCTGACAGTACAGAGTAAGACTTCGGTACTAAATAAATCGGCCAACCTCTTCCCTCAACAAACGACTCAACTCACAAGCTAGGTTCTAATTACTTTGAAGGCCTCATTTACATTTTAAAAAGAAAATCTCCACTAGCATATTCTTTTAACACATAATCTCACTCCGGATCTGCTGAATGAGAATCAGAAATAAAACAAGGTCTTCAATGATTTGTATGCACGTAAAAGTTTAAGCTGTTTATAATAGAACTGTAGCCAGTAACCCATTTAGAAAGTCCCTCACGTCTTCCCTTTTCCTGTATTCCCTTTGTGGGCATAGGTTTTCTTCCCATACTTCAACCAAAATAACTGATCTTTTCCCAAAGACCGTCTTAGAGCACAAAGGAGTCGTGATGCCAGAAAAGTTCGAAGAGCACTGTCTCCTAAAGTTCCGGGGAAAACAGCAGAGAAGCCTGGCAACTTAAGGTTTCCTTAACCAAAGCTGTTCCAGGCCTTCACAAGTGTAAGCATTGTCTTACAGCTCTATTAGTACTTTACACTTCACAACAATGTAGTAATTGGCTACTTTATGAGTTAGGCCACCCCCTCTAATACCGAATCATAATAGATGTTTTCAGTTTGCTCACCCAGTGAATGGGCTCAGTACATCCGACGGCATCCGAGCCTTTGATCTTGTTACAAACCTCACTGAGCCACTTAGCTCTCCCCTTTAATCCCTTCCCACTTAATTACTTGAAGGATTCTGATAGTAAATCTAACGCTAATTTCACTGGCAGAACCCAGACCCTAATCTTTCGTGTCCGGATTATTTGTCTTGGATGGTTCCGTTCCGCGTGGCCACTGGCGAAGTCCAGTTTCCAGGTTGAGAACCAGGTGTCAGTCATGTGCCAAGTCCACTAACTAGGCTAAAGGTCACCGGAGCGCGGACGCAGCCGCGCCCTTGTCTTGGAACGAAACTCTTCCAAATGTGGGCTCCCGGGGAGGGGGGTGGAGGGGGCCGGGCTCAGGACCCAGTGCCCGGCCCCGGGACCCGAGGGGCACTGCGCCTTCCCGGGGGTCGGCCCGGGGTGGGGGCGACACGGCTGACACCCCGTTTCCCAGCGCCAAAGGCGTTGACACGCGACGGGCGCGGGCCCGACCGCATCTCCCGGCCTGGTCACCACGGTGGGTTGGGGGGGGATCCAGCCCTAGCCGGGGTCGGGGCACGAAGGCCACCTCGCCCCCGCCGCCCCACGGCCGGG